GCGGACGTGGGGATTGGAAGTAAACAGCTCGGTGGCTCGTTAAGCAGACGTAAATCATGTCCCACCAGCCTCTTCCTGGGCCGCCGCATGGTTTTGAATCAATAAAGTTGGGGTTTTTGCTCATGTTGCTGTAAAATCAGCCCTTGTGTGTACATGGAGACGAGTTCTCTTCTGTAGGACCCTTCCTTTCCAACATCTGCGCTCGGAAATCGGTGTACGAGTTGGTTACCGTCCTCATTTATATCCTTTTTATGGGGTGGGAAAGTCATACAGCTGAGTGCCAGCCATCCGTGGGAGAGCCTTGCACGTTGACATGACTTCAGACGTTGGCAAATTGACGGAGGGGCTAGACGGAGAGTCCGGAGTACAACGCGACCGCGTTATAGCTGCTGAAACGGAGCGTGTTTTGCTGTTTTCAGAGCTGTGTCCTCTCAGAGTTTATATAGGGACTGTAGGAAATGAGCGCTGTTGCTCCAAGCGCTCAGGCAGAGCGCTTGTCGGCCGCTCTACGTTACTGCTGCTGAGCGCTGGTCGCAGTGTAACGTTTCCCCGGCAAAACGGGGCCTTAGTAAAAGTCTGAATTCGGATGACAGACGCTTGTGCTAGCGTCGTACCTGACCGCGGAAGCGGGAGCAGCCTTGTCGAAGGCAGTTGTTGACGCTAGAGCATCGGCGCGCTCTCCGAGCCTAAACAAAGCCCCAGCTAATCGGATTACATTTATTAAACTTGCCCGTGTGACACGCGGCGCTGCTCGCCGCACAGTGGTTTGTCGGAGCCGGGAACGCATCTGGGAGATTAGATGGAATTAGATATGCCTGAGCGCTACCCTCAGGACGGCGGACGTCCTTTTTACCTTACCAGGGAGGTTGCAAATGCGTGGAGATAAGAGAAGAGGGCCTAGCGCAGAGCCGGATAACCCCAGGGAGAGAAACCACTCCGGCATCGTTCTTGGCTAGATGAATTCCAGTTAGGGCAGGCGACAGTGCGGGTGCGAGCGATCCCCAAGCAAAGCAAATCCCCTGATCTAAGCAAATTCGAGACAGGCTGCTGGTGCGGCACCGAATCCTGCTGCAAGTTCCTGGAGCTGCAGCAGTATCGCGTGCCGGTGGGCAGGCGGGGCCAGCAGGCAGCTTGTTTGTTTCCTTGCAGTAGTTGTAGCTCCTTTTTTTCCCCCACCTAACTCGAAGAGGGATGGGTGTTGCTCTTACCCTGCAGACCGTACTGCGTTTCCCTACTGCACTTCATCTGGGGGAAGCGCTAGCGCAAAACTCCTCCTTATGCTTGCGTTTGTTGTAGTCGGTAATCCCTCCTTCCCCAGGAACGACTGTGAGAAGATCATTCACCAGAGGACCAACACGACTCCCTTTGACCTGGTGCCTCCCGAGGACGGGGCCGACGTGAGCGTGAGGGTGATGAAACCCCTGGAGGCCGCCGAGCTCAGCCTGGAGACGGTGTACGAGAAGTTCCACCCCTCCGTCCAGTCCTTCACCGATGTCATCGGCCACTACATCAGCGGCGAGCGTCCCAAAGGCATTCAGGAAACGGAACAGATGCTGAAGGTGGGAACCACGCTGACGGGGGTGGGAGAGCTGGTGCTGGACAACAACACGATCAAACTGCAGCCCCCGAAGCAGGGAATGCAGTACTATCTCAGCAGCATGGATTTCGATGCCTTGCTGCAGAAGCAAGAATCCAACGTCAGACTCTGGAAAATCCTGACAATCATTTTTGGCTTCGCTACTTGCGCCACTCTCTTCTTCCTCCTGAGAAAGCAATACCGGCACCATCGAGAGAAGCAGCGCCTCAAGCAAATGCAAGATGAATTCAGGCAAGCCCAGGAACGACTAACGCGCGAAGTGAACACGGAGGGCGGGGAGGCTCTCAAAAACGCTTGCGTCGTCTGTTTGACCAACACCAAGTCTTGCGTCTTTCTGGAGTGTGGCCACGTTTGCTCTTGCAACGAATGCTACCAAGCTCTTCCAGAGCCCAAAAAGTGCCCCATTTGCAGGCAGGCAATCTCTAGGGTGGTTCCCTTGTACAACAGTTAAATTTCTGTGGCCGGGGAGCTTTTTTGCATCGAGGTCCCCTGTCTTCAGGGCTTTTTCTTCAAGTCCTGCTTTGGCCAGCCTGTCTCACTGTTTGGGCAGTTTCTTTTGATGGGAATGAAATGTAACTGGGGAAGCCCGAGAGGGCTAAGGTGCTTTAATTGGGGTGCAAAGCCATGTCTTAAAAGGATTAGGTCCAGCTGATATAAGTGCGTAAGGCTTATATGACGGTCCAAAGGTTTTAAGGATGATCTGAGTGAGCAGTTCTCAGAAACGGCGCCTACGTTAAGTTAGTAAACGAGCGCTCTTCTTAGTTTCCCTGTAGTTTCCGGCTGTCGGGTTTGTCAAAGTTGAACTCTCCTCGTTTGTTTGCGTTTTGGCTTACTGAGCCTGCAGTCCCTGCACGTGTGGGATCACCCCGATTTGTTTCCCCGTGAGCAAAATACCTGGGTTACAAAAAGCCCAGTGAAAAGCAGTATCTTTCCTACTCAGAGGCTGCAGGATTTAGGCGACACTGCCATCTAGCTCCTAGGACTTTCATTTAGCAGGATGGCCTTTAAAAGAGCTTTTATAGGGTTTTGCGTGACCACAAATGTTTTGGGGGAAAATCCGTGGTTAATTCAAGCAGGGAGCAGAATTTCCATTGTCTCTTCCTCGGTCTCTTACTAATATCGCAAAAAAGCTGTTTTTTTTTTTTTTTTTCCTTTAAACTTCCCCCTACAGCGTTGAAAATCAATTTCAGTCCAAAAAAATAAATAAAAATCAATCTTGCTGTAAGATGAGAATCGGGACACGAAAAATGCTGCAGTCGGTTTCTGCGTCTAGGCTTGAGCCAGGATATAAAATGCTCCGGTAGTATGAAAAGCATGTTTGTCTTGGGTTATTAAATCTAAATGACCCCGAAGGTGGCAACAGGAGCGAGACGAGCCATTTCCCCATCTCCCAGCCTACTTGTATTTTTAAAGTTTGGCCCCATTCCTTGTTTTAGCGAGGGAGACTGTCCTAGCTGCTGTCCGGAGCAGGAGCTCAGGGCTTGCCCGGAGCCCTCGTAGGCAGCGGCGTAGCGCTGCTGCGCGGGGCTGGGCACATCTGCGATGGGTGAACAGCTTGGCCGGGCAGCGTCCCGGTACTGGACACGAGTTAGAGTTTGGGAATTTTTTTTTTTTTCTTTTGATGTCTTTTGAAATTTGCCAGTCTGCTGCTTCTCTTTGTTCTTCCCGGGTTTTACAAGCCGCGCTAAGCTATCGAGTGCTGAAGGAACGTCAGTCACCTTCTCTTGCCGCCGGCCGCGATCTGTGTGACAGAGGGGAACTGTATCCCCGCGTGCTGAATCCAGCGTAACCCGAGTCCTTATGGATACTGCTGTCCTCCTTTTTGTGCTGTAGATGGTGCAAAATAAACCTCCACGTGGAAAAGGAGAACGCCCTTCTCCGACTTGCCTGGGTTTTTTTCTTTTTTTGGTAAATCACAGGTCATAGCTGTACCCAAGAGTATTAACAAACCCAAAGTGACGCTTCGGTTGACAGTCGCTGTGGAGGACACCGACTTTCCACTTAGGGAAACACAAGGTTGGGGGAGGTTTCTCCCGCTCCTCTTTTAGGAGCCTGAAGCAGGAACAACAGAAAATGTGCGGTGCTGAAGCACCCCTCTGGATTGGGGGAAGACTCCCGTTTTCCATCCATAAGGGATAGCGGGGAAGGGATAGCGGCTCAGCGACTGCTCGAGGCTCCGGCGTCACCAACCGCCCCCGTCCGCAGGACTGTGCTTTGTTCCCGGGGAGGTTGTGAACCTTTTTGTCCCTCTCGGACGCACCTGCTCGCGCCCTCGCAGCTCCCAGAGGTGTCGGCTGCTGCACGTACCCGGCTGTCGTTTAAATGGGGGGTAATTGGGGTCCGGCATCTCGGGCCGTGGATGGCAGCGGGCGCCCACTGCCGCGCAGCAGGCTCCTGCGCTCGCCGCTGGCTCCAGCAGTGACGGGAGAAAACACAAACCCGGCTCGCTGCTTTCCTTCAGGGGAGGCCGCGCTCCCCCATCGAGGGCTCTCTGCAGCCCCCTCCCCTTTCCTTCACCCCCTCCTGCTCCTTGCACCCCGTTTCTCTGCAGGGCTGTTTTAAAGCTTCTTCAAGTTCAGTCTCCTCACTTTGCCCTTTGCATGATTGGGGTTTTTTTTTTATGGCACCGTAATAAAAAAAGCCATTTTGTCCATAGTGCAAAGTGCTCTTTGGGAAAAGCAAAGCAAGAAATGTCCCCGGGCTCACCCCGGAGGCTTAGGCCTGCCTGCAGCTCACAAGCAGTTTTGGCACCTGAGCCCTGCGGGGCAGCGAGCCGGGGGCTTTACGGCAGCAAACAGCAGGATCTGCCCCGAGCTCTCTGCGGGGGCGGGATTCGGAGGCGGCGTTTGGGCAACCTAAAAACACGAATGGGCCCCGGGGGTTGCTTCTCCCGCAGCGGCACCTTTCTGCCTCTCCTTTTCCTCCGTCCTGCCGCTCCTTTTTTCCCTGCTCTGGGAGGACGGGACCTAGGACGAGGCGCTATAACCGCGCGAGGCGGGACAGGCGGCGGTGCGCGCTGGCCG